CCAATATGAGCCAAGTGTTAGGCTACGGCGTAGGGTTCATTCCTGCTAATAGCGATCTGCGGATTTGGTGCAAAAACGCATAATCGCACCTGAGAGCCTGGTTCTTCCCAGCCTGGGTTATGTAATTAGATGACGTTAATTTTTGTTCGCTAAAAAGGCCGAAGAGCAACTGACGCAAGTGCAGTTCCCGTTTTTTACACAGTCACCGACTAAATAAAGGATTACCGCCGGTGCAAGCAGGCTTTTCTGCAATTAGCTGTTGCGGGAGCAGAGTGAACGCACTGCGCAGTGATAGTGTTTTAGCTAACTTGGCGGGTGTTCTTGGCTTGCACTATTCTAGAGTTGTGTAGCAGCTTAAAGCTCAAATATGAATTTCATGGACGTGAATCACAACAGATGCGATCTAAAGGGAATTTTTTTTTTCAGATTAGACCTCAGAATTTTCAGGCTTTTGATGAACATCAGTTTAAAATTGGACCACGAGAAAGTGATGTTTAAGTGCTGGATTCAAGCCCTATGTTGCACTGTGCAGTGAACCAAACTCTTAGATTCTTGAATCTTCAAAAAACTGTTCGCCTTACAGCTGTAAAATAATTAGCAAATTAGACTGGTCGTCAGGAGCGCAACTATCCATTCGTCCGAAAAGTTTTTCTTGCTACGAAACTCCACCGCATGAGCGTAATGCGCTCCCAGGGAAAAAGGGAAGTAGCACCGTATATTGAGATAGTGAAGGACCTGGTACACGTTCCTGCTTTTTGCGGGCAGGACTATTCACACAAGAGGCTGGTTTCATGGCTTTTTACGACACTCGTAAAGCAGGACTGGGAGGGAGAATCCCCGCGCCCTCTTTCTGCTGTATACGCCACCGATATTTACGATATACTGCTTCTACATAACGTTTTTTTGCAGACCGTTGTGCTGCTGTTGTTGCTGCTGTGGTACCGGTGGTGGTTTATGTGACTTGCTGCAGCAGCTATTCTGTCCTAAAAAAGAAGCCCCACCGCCTCCGCCTCCACCACCGCCACCTCCACCCCCGCCACCACCACCCCCGCCACCTCCACCACCTCGTTATTACCAAGTAGTAGTGCCTCTTTACGTAGCTGCTCCTCAACCTGCTGCGCACTACGCGGCCGTGCCAGCTGCCGCGCCGGTTGCACATGGTGTTGGTTATGGAACTGGAGGAGGCGGAAGCTACGCTGTTGGTCCTTCTATGCGACTTCATCGTCATGCCCGCGCAGCAGTCTGGAAGAAGGTGCTGTGGTGGGCTAGAAACTCCAGAACTGCAACTGCCAAATAATTAGCCATTGGTATATGTGTTTCTCAGTTTCAACGAATAATGCATATTTTCCGTGATTTATTTTGAACATTTCTGCTGACTGAGATGAGTTGAAGCCTGCATATTTTTTTAAAACCTTAAAAACTATAAAAAGACCGTTCAAAACTTGTGAAAAAATTTTAAAATTTCGGTCTACAATTTATGCATTTCTAGATTCAAGTCTGAGCATCCGCTCAATGCAAGCCCCACAGCTCATTTTAGAAAATAACTCCGCAGTCCGTGCGTTACTTCCGGTTACTTTCACTGCATTGGTTCTTGTTCCAAAAACCTAATACCAGTGAGATGTATCACATTTCAGCTTTTACTGCAGATGAATAAGGCTTTGCTGCCACAGTCACGGCTCAAATTTGTTCCAAAAACTGCCTTTACTGCCAATTTTTTTTGAAGTCTGAATAAAAATACTCGAATGTTATTTTAAAAGATTGATTTTAAGTTTGCACTGGGAAAAGTTGGAAGCAAAACCCAATAGCAGCACAGGAGAATGTTCCATGCCTAAACGCGATCCACCAAGTCTTTAATTTAGCTTCCGTGTGCTTCCAGATATCACTTGCTGACGCGTGAAGGTTTGGACGTGAAAATTGCCAACTCGGGAACCGGAAAAATTATAGAGTTGAAATTTTAAGAGCAACTTCTTTCAGAGGTGTCAGTGTATGATTCTACCGACTCAGTTTTGGGTTTGACACAGGCCTATAATCTCACGTCCGGAAGTACGAAATTTTTGGCTGGAAAATAGTTAAATCTGGAAACAAAAAGGTTAGGCTGAAGTATCAGAATTCCTGCTCAGTGCGACTACACAAATTTTTGCTCAGCTTTTAAATATGTCTAGAACTCACGCAAGGATACGTAGGAATCAAGCAACGATTCAGTTATTCTTACGTCCACCAAGCTGCATTGCGTTGATTAAGAGCAGAAGTTTGTTGGAAAGAACGGCGCATAATCACACTTGACCATCCTGACTTAGTTCCCTACTATAATATCGTTGATTTCTGATAAAACTATTACACTTCTTTAGTTGGATTTTGTGCCACCCAGCGGTGCCTCAACTCTTCCGTTTCCCTCCGCATACATACTTCGCCGATCAGATTCGCAACAGCAGTCCCATTCGGTTGAGGAAAAACTTTTGCAGTCTCTGAACGCGGTGCATTGCACAGCCATGTTATCTCCCAATCGTGCAGTGAATTAAATCATCTTAATTCTGTTCCACGCAGTTCATTTCAGTCGAACTCAGCCAAACACTTTTTATTACATGAATTGATGGGCAGTTAAAATGAGGTTTCAGTAAAAACTATGCAACGACTCAACAACACACTGTCAATAGGGGTTCACCAATTATCAACAAACAGATAAATCGAAAACAAGAGCGATGAGCCAGAAAAACAATGAAAAAAGTGATTTCAGAGGTTTCCGTAGCTGTAAATAAGCTGTGAAATCGTCGTAGCTTGTGGTGATTGGGCACTGAGCCCTGCAGTTGTTATTTTTCTGAGTGCGAGCCATTCATCTGCCTAAGGACTTCAAGGTTTCTTATTAAGGTTATACAAGCAAATGATTGTAACTGAAAGGAGCTACGGCACCCGATCTGGAAGGTGTGCTCCTTCACGGACGCGAGGGAGATGTGCTTCTTTAGCATACTTCAGGAGAACGTTAGATGACAGAGAATAAAAATCCGCATCCTTCAAAATTTTTCACACAGTGCTTACAATTCTTACTAATGCATTTTCAAACCTAACTATAAAAATCTTATCGCAGCTGTCATCACTAACTCTTATGCACTTTCAGAAAAGCTTTGCTTTTCTTTGCATAGTAATCTGTGGATGTTGGCGAAGAGGGATACTCGTTAGCACCACCAGCCGTAGCATTTGGTGCATCCGGTTGCACTGCTACATTTACTGGCGGTCCCGATGCATACTGTCCCATACCAGATGCTGGTGGCGGCGGTCGTGGTAGTACTGGTCCACCAAAACGATGTTCATTTTGTGTTGTTTCTGGAAGGCTATAGGATGAAGAATCACTATAGCTGCCACCATTCGGAGCACCGAATGAACCTAACGCATAGCCAGAACTTCCCGGTTGCTGTTGCTCATATTGCGGTACGCCAAAACCGTAGCCTCCGGCACCATGATTCTGTAAACAACCGTTTTTTAATGCTCTAGAATAAATTTCACTCGGCACTCACAATAGAAAGAGGATAATATAATTTCTTCTCCCTTCGCTAAAAATACTCTGTCCATCACTGAGCTGCTGTACAAACGATAAGAAACGCAGCAGTCTAGACTTTTTTCTCTGAGGTCCACCATGAGGAAAAATGAGCTGACTGACATTGGCAAAACGAAAGGCAAACGTCCAAACGACCGATAAAAGACACTAAGCGAAGCCAGGAACGACAAAAGTAACGCTAGAATAGGCAGACCGTGATAAATGAAAGTGAAGTAGCCATGCTCAGTCAAAAACCCAGGCTGGAATGCACCGGACGGGCCCGTGCAATCATACGTTTTTGCACCGGTCATTAACTGTATAAATGGCTGTTGCTTTACACCTACCTTTTGCGGTTACTAGCATAAATCACCATAAATTCTGCAAAGTAAATGTATAATTTCCATTCAACAGTCGTTCTTTAAAAGTAGCCTAGTTATTCAGTGAGAAATATTTTCATCAAGACTTTTATCTGGCGTACGTAAGAACCATGCGTACCTCAAGGCTGAATTTGAAATATAATACTTAAGTTGTGCCTGGACAGGGAACATTCCCCCAAAATTTCAGCTTTCCAGCTTTTCTGGCTACCGACTTAGCAATTTTTCTGCAGAAAATTTCATATGCCCTTACGTGAGTACTACGCATAGCATGGGGCTGAATTTGAAATATTTAAGTTTTACTTCAATGGGGAACATTCTCCCAAATTTCAGCTTTCTGGCTTTCCTGGTACCAGAGTTAGCAATTTTTCTCCTAAAACTTTCATATGCCTTTACTTGAGTACCACTCATACCTGGGGCTGAATTTGAAATCTTTAACTATTAGATGCACAGGAAATATCCCTACAAAGTTTCAACCCCTCAGCTTATGTGTTTCTCGAAATCGCTTTTCCGCCAAAAAATTTGCATATTTTTTAAAGCGTCCGTATGCGATGAAATTAACATACCATGTGCGACCCTCCCATTCTAATTTCATCCCCCTCAGACACCTCAGACACCTGAGGGGGATGAAATTAAAATGGGAGGGTCGCACATGGTATGGGCACATGTTCCCAAAGTTTCAGCCTTCTAGCTTTTCAGGTTCTCGGGTTGAAAGTGGGTGGACAAAAATGCGAACACACAGGCACATACACACACATACACACAGCCTCTTCCCAATATCCGTTTTTGCAATTTGCATATATGCAAAAACACATAAAAAACCGCGGACCAACGATAGCAGTCTGGATGCACTGTATAATTTTTAAAGTGTGGGTCTAGCGCGGCACTCTTGTTTATACTTCTTGCACATTTCTTACGGTGGTGCA